GATAGAGAATCATCTCCTGACATGCAGGATCTCTTCCCTCTCTTTATCCCCACTTTCAAAATAAATCAAGGCTTACACAACCGTAAGAATGGAACTATTTGAGTAGCTGAAAAGACTGCTTCAGAGAAATAAAAATAAGGTTTTTTCCAAGATGTTTTGCAGATGAGTTTACATTGTTGCATCAGAATTAACACTTCCCAAGTAATTTCATACTTCATGCAAATTAAACAAATTATTTAAGAATGTTTTATAATGTCCATATTGTGTTTTTAAAAGAATACTATTGACGAAACCTCTGACAAGTAAAGTAGCTTACTGTAATCAATTAGAATATGAGAATGAAACTAATTCAGTAAAACATTGCTAACGCTGATCTGGCAAACCACTGGTAGCCATCTGTCTAATCCTTGTATTCTGAAGTTGCATTTTAAAAAACAATTATTAATAGTGCTTATTAGCTGCCAAGCAAAAGAGCATGCCACAAACTTCTGCTCAGAGACTAGCTAATGTTAGCAAATACTACTCACTTCAAGTTTGAGCTAGAACCTGCTGTGTGATCGCAAGGCCAGGCTGAGTTTTTCTACTGGGGTCTACAGGAATGGGAGAGACTCTAAGGGATGGACTCAAGGGCAGGTGCAACACCCTGCTGATGCCAACCATCTTCCTCCAGAGCCCTTCAGCATCCACAGCATCTCAACCTCCCTGCTAGGCAATCTATTCCAGTGCTGCACTATCCTTACTGTTAGGAAGGTTTTTTAATGTTTAAAGTGAATTTTCCTTTGTGCAATTTAAGTCCATTACTACTAGTTTTGTTAATGCACAGGGAATAGTTTGCTCCTTTCTTCTACGCAGCAGCTTTTTATGTATTTGAAGACTGTTGTTATGACCCCACTCAGTCTGCTCTTCTTAAAGTGAAACAATTTGTCCAACCTGTATAAGGTCTGATTTTTAAAAGTGTTGAGCTCCTGCCGTTCACATTGCTTTTATTCAGGTGATTGAGAGTGAAAGGACTTCAGTACAGTTGATGATCAAGCCATATTGTCTGGTGCCCTTTAAATACTGATAGGTATGAAGGGCACAAATGCTGTTTATAGCTGTGTATGTGTATTCTTGTCTTTACAATAAAAGTGTATTTGCAGGACCTGTGACCAGTCTTCTGGCTGCATACAGAGGGCAAGAGCAACTTCACAAAAAGAACAGATTTTAGTGGAATCTTGGCTGCCTTACACGCCAGGATTTGTTGAATCATTTGGACTAAATTATTTTTGGTTTTTCATGCAAAACATATCTTGGCCAATGGTTTTTTGATTTGTTCAAATGATTTATATGGTTACTGTCAAAACAGTGTTCATGATTATTTTTTAACTATTTGCTGTTGTTGAAAAATATATACTTAAGAAGCATGGACTGAAATAATTTTCTATCCCAAAACAGGAGAGTGAGGTTTCTTCCTATAAAGGGCTTCTCAGCAGGAGAAATGGTGATTTTTTTGTCCTTATGGTACTGGAACAGAATTTCACTTGGCGTCACTTGGAAGGATGTTTTTATAGTGAATACACTACAAAATATGGCACTATCATTTTGTGTTAGTGTTCCAGGGTATCTAGAAATAAATACCACTATACCTGCTCTTTACAATTTCCATTGTAAATACAGCTTCCTTTGTGTCCATATAGGCCCTCATGAAATAGCCTTCATGTCATTGGAGGCTTTTGATACCATTGTAATGCAAGCAATAATAGTTCCTTGTATTGGTTATCATAAATGTAGGGCTATGTATTCTGCCTTTCTGGAGAAAAGAGATGTTTTCTTCTCTAGACCCTCTATCCTAGTCTTGAAAAATAATTTCCTCAGACAAATACAGAGAACATTTACAATTATAAAGTAAAAATATCCTCTCTAATTTTGGGCTAACTGTCATTGCTTCTTTTTGAAAAAAAGAAAAAAATAATAGAAGGAGAAGAGAGTGAGAGAGAAAAGGAGGCTATAAAGGTATTTTTTTGTATGGCTTTTTCTTACCCATCCATGTCCTTTATTCTTATTCATAAGATTTCATCAAACTGCTGGAAATAAGGCTAATTGTGATAGGCCTTAAAATACAAGGGGACCATAAAGTATGAATACACAACTCTCCTAATCTTGTTCTGAAATGGTAAACAAAAATAACACTGAATTTCAACATTGGCAGTAAAGTTGAAGTAGTGTTCTATGGTATATATATGGTAATAGGCAATAGCATGCAAAACATGGAAGTGCACAACCATATCAGTAGTTTTATACCCAGCCAGATTATTTCTCTGTAAACACCTACATTTAATTATCCTGTCATCTATCTTTCCCTCCTCCATAGGCTCAGTAATTCATCTGTGCTACATGCATACTACGGCTGTTCTCTTTTTACATTGCTTACTCAAAAACCCTGCCCTCCTCCTCCTTCCAGATGCACACTAAATCTTCCATTGCCCAACCAATGGATTGAAATATTAAATTATAATCTTTATTGTCTGTATTGATTGAAGGATGTCCTGCTATTAGGGCCTGCCTGAGTTTGGTTGACATGAACCCATCCATTGCTGCTCTAAGAGTGCAGTAAATTTTACAGGCCATCCTCTTTCTCTGCCACACAAAGCAAAACCACAAGCTAGGTCTTTGGGGACAAGTGGGAAACAATAAAAACAAAAACTTAAAATGGCCAGGGTCTCTTTAGGCAAAAGGGAAAATAATTTGTTACATTTTAAATCCACATTGTAAATCTCACATCAACTGCACAAAATTGGTTGGGGTGAAAGATAAATCATAGAATATTCCTTTATCTAATAATAGTATAGTATAAAACTAAATGGTTTTGCTTTTTGATTGGTGTCAGGAGTAGGCATGAGCAACCTCAGCAAGAAAGCACATGTCCTCATTGCTTGGTTAATGGATTAACTCTTTATGAGAAGTGAGAATATTTTCGCAACAAAGAAGCTTTACATTTGTGTATGACATTCAGTGTCTTGAGGGTTAGTTCTGAAGGTCTGACAGCTGTCAACAGTTAGACACAGGCAGAGTACACTTCAGCTCCTTTCATCTCAGTATCCAGACACAACAGGCATTGCTGGTGCTGAAGCCAAGGACTGCCCTGTTCCTACGTCTATCATCTGAAGCTTTCCCCTTACCAAATGTAGACTTTGGATTAGGTCCCAAAAGCCTACACTCTTTTCACTTTAATCAAATAAACCAGTTGAGAACGTTGGGAGTGAATAACAGCCTTTATCCCGATCACAACCCAACAGTCTCACATGCACTGAGATAGTGTCTTACGGAGATACCACATTTTTCAGTGAGCAACGCCTTAGCAAAAAGTGTCGAAGTATTCACTTAGGAAAATCTTTTGGCTAAAGCATTCATAAATAGCTTAATTCTTTTGGTTCATGACATCACTACAATCCCTTAATGAAAGTGCAATTCAAGGAAGCTAATTTGTGCTATGATTATATATTAGTCTGGGCTGAAAAGTTTCTGGATGGAAAAGGGTTTTCTTCAGGCAATCTTTTATTCTGCTTATTGTATTTACTTAACAAAGAGCAGTCAGCTTTTACTGTGCTTTTTCATAATGGAGTTGAGCTGTAGTGTTACCTAGCTAAGGGCAAGCATCTGCAGTCGTTTTTGATGGATTCTGGCAATAGTCTTTAACAAGAGCAAGGATTATTTGCAATTGTAGGAAGAACCAGGCCAAAAAGCCAAAAGATGTGTTGCTGAAAAAGTTTAAGAGTTCTTTATCTGGACTGCCTTTCAGACCAGTGCTACATTAGCAGCCAGGTAGTTTAAGGAAATTCAGATAAATAATTTCTCGCCAATAAAGAAAGTCCCCATGGAAATCATTTTTCTTGTGTCACTTGAAAAAAAATATTCTTGGTTTGGTTTCTGATGCTTCCGCCACATGATGAAAGCCCAACATTGTTCACAATGTGCAGGATTCAGAGCATTTCCACCTAACTGAGGTTTTCTAAGCAGAGAAGTTTAAGAAAGCAACTAAGTTCTTCAAAGCTATGAATCACCTTTGTAAAGTGTGTTTCTGTTTCTCTGTTGCCTACAGTAGACACCCTGTTGATGTAGGTCCTAAGCAGAGTACCCACAGTTTTTCAGGAGGAATTTATCCTAAACACACTGAACAACAACCTAAATAAACTAGTTAACAAGATAAATAAAACACGTATCTTCAATATATCCCTGTTTCTAGTATTCGTCTTAACAGCAATTTTTCCCTATAGTGAAATCCTGAGTGAAATTTTTTAGCACAGTAAATCAGTGTCAGTTCTCATTTTGCAGAATCTCTCCTGGTATCTAACACAGAGGCTGATCGTGGCACGGGAAGAGAGTTTCTGTGCCACCTACTCTCTGCAGGATACTGCAGGTAGAAGGACCTAGACTTAATGCAAATGTGAATAAGAAGGATTTCAAATAGGGTTCTTATTTTTTGGATAGTAGCTTCCTGTGCACACCATAAAGGTTTCCCAAAAATCCAGTCAACAATTTCTAGAAGAATTAGAAGCGGTTGTAGTCTCTTGTTCTATCAACACGAACTTTCTCTGAGCATTCTGGTTCAGCCTCTGTCAGAAAGAGGAGAGGTGGTGGTCTCATCCATTAGAGCAGTTATCATGTCCTTTCCCCCAGAGCTCACCTCCTCCAGCTCTCAGCCTCCTCCCCCAGTCCCAGCTGGGCTGGCTCAAGTTTCCTGCATTCTCAGCTCTGTAGTGCTCAAGCACCGTTGCTGGGAAGCATGGCCAAGGGGCAATACACAGGGGCAGAAACCTGGAGGCACATGTGCTTGGTATTGCACAACAGCTGTAATAAATATATTGCAGTTCTGTGAATTTTAGTGGGGATGTAGAGTCAGGAAAAACAAAAAAGAAACAGACTTGATGAGATTTTTTCACCTGAGAAAAGGTGTGGAGTAGATCAGAATGCACTGACAAAATACTGATTTTATATGTATCTCTTCTTCTGTTTTCTTCTAGAAAAAGTAAGCATACTGTCAACCTTCATAGCGCCCTTCAAGTATCTGAGTCCTGGTGCAACCACCATGGAGGATGAAGACAATTTGAGTAAGCAGTCTCTTTTCTTTATAGACAGATGAATAATACAGTTTAAATATCTATGGTGTAGGGGCAATATATGGAAAGGATGTGGATTTGCAAATATTGGCAGAATGCAAGCCCAGTCCTGTAAAATGAAAAATTCCCTGATGCTGAGTGCCAACATGTTCCCCAATCTCCAGTGAAGAAAGGGTTAATCTCAGGTCACCTTCCCACTTTTCCCTGTGCAGACCCTGGCATGACAGGGCTGTAAGTGATGTGTCACAAATACAAAGGAAAAACTCTTTACAAAAATAAGATGTTTACAGTCATGTTTACAGTAGTGTGGAGCATCTTTACTGTTTATGTTACCCTATTTTGCTCACTTGCTTTTCTCACAGTACCTAAAAAATAGGACATTTTGGTGCTGTGCCTTCCCCCCACTTATATTTCCTCGATTATGAAAGCATTTTTGCAAAAGTAAAGACTGCAGGAACAAGCCCTCTGCTTGAAAAAATGGTTTCTCTTTTACTTCTGTGATATGACCTGTAAAATAAAAATAAAATAATTAAAAAAAAAAAAAATCAATTGAGAAGAGGTGATTAACCAGGCTTAAATAAACTAGATGTAAGGCAAAAATTAGCCACTGGATTCTCTTGGGCCCTTACATCTGAACAAAGTCACTGACAGTCCCTGAACCGGTGACTGCAGAGCTGGAGGAAAGTGCTGCTGGGTTTGAAGGAGTTGTGAAGTCTTCAAGACACCAAGAAGTGTGGGAGTGTGCAGTTAGGACTGAATAACCCTCAGTAAACCCTCCCATTTATCACCTAAAAACAATTATTGTGTGTTATCCAGCCCTGCTTATTGAACACATCCTGAATCATTAAAAAAAGGGAGGGAAGCTTTCTGAACCAAATGAGCAACTCTTTGAGTTTTAGTATCACCTACCAGATGGGTTTCTTTTCCAGCCAGACACACACTGACATGTTGCCCTATTAGAGCTGTGGGGTGGGAGAAATGGGCTTTTTTTTCCCCATGGTTGCTAATCTACCCTGGTTTGATCATGGTGCGGCGCAAAAGGGAATAGCTGTTGGAGTGGAGGAGCACAGACCTCCGTTTGCTGTTGCTGAGTATCGCATGGACATTGCACCCGTCTGCTGCGCAGGGACTGGCAGGTTTTTACATATCTTACCAAAGGCAAAAAAATCCTAAAAACCTTAAAAATTGGTCCCAGGGAGGCTACATTTTCAGGAAGAGATATGAGAACACACAGGAAACGTATTATGCACATGATGAGCTTGTGCAGGCACCTCCTGTGTAATGTTTCCCAAATGTGCTACTTAGTTATTTTTGGGTAATGTAGGAAGTTTGTGCAAGCCAAACACTGTAACACCATTTTCTTATTGCTGTTGTAATGCCAAGTCTGCTTCGTGCCTGCATGGGCTTTAAAATAGCTCATATGGACAGAGTAAGCTATGTTTTCTGAAAGAGAAATAGCAAATTTCAGGTTTTGGGGTCATCATGCCTAGTCTGGTCTTGGGTCAAACATACACTCCAGTCATAAGGCAGCGATTTGTTTCTTGGCACATACAACACATTTTAGGTGTTACTATTAGAATCTTAAAAAAAAAAAAAAAAAAAAAAAAAAGGCAAACAAATGAGCAAACAACAAAAAACAACACCAAAACCAAACATGAATTAATTTAAAATCAGCCATATTTCAGTGTTCACTTCTAGTATAGCAGTATAAATCCCACTATTGTCTGTAGCACACATGTACCTGTGTAGTAATTCAGAATTTTAAAGAGCTTCAGTGATTTGCTCTCAACAAGCAGAGGAACCTTATTCTCTGTTAACAGTTTAACAAAAGCCTAGGAGAATGTTGGCAAGAGAAGTGGTTTGCTTAGCCCTGTAGTTTTCTAATTACTGAGCACCCTGTGAGAGTGCCCCTTTCCAGACTGTGCTGTATCAATAGGCAGAGTACCACTAGCTGAAACAGATACAAATCCTGTTTCACATTCTTTTAGGCTTTGTTTACAAAGGGAGACATACCAGGTTAACAACACATGCATTTTCAGTGGGTGATTATTAGCATATAGACACTATTATTGTGGTTTATGATCCATGAACTAATACTAGAAAAATGTATCAAAGGCACTATGCACCTTTGGAAAAGAATTTTGGGTAAAGTCATCAATCTCTTATGAAGACCTTAGCTTGAACATTCAAGAAAAGGACCACCTTACTCATTTACAGAAGTCAATCATAGCTAAGAATGTAAGGAATGTCACACAGAATTAGAAATAGGAAGTTTAGCTCTGTACATTGTCTTCAACATTTGCTGTTGGTGATGCATTGAGAAAAAGGACATTTAAATGATGATTTTTCCCTTCAGTATATCTTTCTAGCACCCAGCAAGAAATTTACTCAGCTAGATTTTGCACCTGAATCATTATATTTTTTAGACATCAACAGACCTGTCTAGTCCTCTCCAGAGCCCACTGATACTTCTGATCTCAAGAACAGCCAGGAACAGGGAGTTCAGTGATTTAGTGTGTTGTCAAAAAGTGCACCCTTTTATTGCTTCAAGCCTGCTGTCTCTAGTGCTTGGATTGCATGAAACAGTGAATAATCATTCCCTGTTCACTGCCTGCCTGCCTGTCTTTCATGATGTTACAGACTTCTGCCTGTCCCTGATCTTTAATCGTTCCATCCACACTATGACACCACATCAAGGCAGACTATCACCAGACACAGATACCTGAAAATATAGGGTGTACCTCTAGCAGGAGCATATCACTCCTGGGGGTCTCACTGTGCAACACTGCTATATGCACAGACTGGGTGCAGCAGTCTTCTGCAGGCATACACCTCTCCTCAGTGTCTGCAGAGGGACCTGATGGTGATGGTCCCCAACATATGGTTTTCTCTGCAGCAGTCACTGCAGCAGTCTTGCAGGATGAACCCCAGCCCCAGATCCTGTGTGCTGAAGTATGTTCAGTTATGAACGTGTTGGTCAAAGTCCCCCTCAGGCAGCATGAGACCCCAGAGCTTTTGATTGCACAGTGTGGGATACAGTAGGGACCTTGCCTCTAAGAGGACAGTAATATCCCCTTCCAGCAGTCGGAGCCTCAAGCAATCTCCCACAGAATCAAACCCCCTGTTTTTGTTTTGAAAACTGTGTCTATTCCCATCATTTGGATTTCTCCCATGCCTAAAACTGAGAATTTGAATCTAAAAATCCCAGCAGAAGAGTTCCCAGTCCTCCATTTTGGATTCAATAAGTGTATGAAAATGCCATCTTGCTTGCAGGAGGAGAGTGCCCTACACTGCATTTGATATAGTAGCTGACCTTGGACACAGGTCATACTTATTTCTTCTGATTTAAAATTTTTCACCTTCAAGCATGCCAGGAATTATGGAGGTCAATCCTCTTAACCTCTGCAGTCAATGTGATGTAGATGGACAGCAAAAATGTACTCTACATAAGCAGGTCACACAGGAGTTAGATATTAAAACATGGAAAAATAAAAATTAAGTCCTACCTGTATTATTGAAAATGCATTGGTAGCAATTCAGTGATTACTAAACACATCTAAAAACAGTAACTTCCTGTGTCAGAGCTACCAGTTGAATCAGAACTTTGCTGAACTACAGAGATTACAAATTCCTTCTTTCAATATCATAGCTTTTCAATGATGTACTGCCTCTTGTAATTCAACAGTAAAGATGCCAGCCAAAATTAAGGTGCCACCTACCACCTCTCCCATCCTCCCTGGAAGTTGGCTTGGCAGCAGAATAACCTTCAACAGGAACAATATTATCTCTTCAAATGTAGCGTGGAGTATCGGATGGCTAGTTCTGCAGAGCCCTTATGACCCAGAGACATAGGCAGTGTCATTATTAGTGATGCATTATAGTTCTGAAAAGCTCTTGATGATGCAGACTCTCTAGGTTAACTCTACTGTGCATAATGACCAAAAGGAGAAAAACATGAAAGAGCAGACAGAAGATTGAGGAATAGTGCATAAATATATTTCACTAACTGTTTTCCTCTCTCCCATGAAATTACTGAAACAAATACAAGATTACAATGTCTCCTCTTGCTCATGAAACTGCAAAAATCAATGAATAATGTTACCTGATATTACTGTGCAGAGGTGTGGGGCTCTTTTAGAAATCTTGCACAATAAATTCAAAATTATTCCCCCAAAAATTTAATATTTTTCTATTTTTCTTTCTCCTTTTTTATAACTTCCTCCCCTTATAATTTTATTATTCTCCAACCTTTCATCATAGGAGAACTATTTTTTCTTTTGGTTGTTTTTTTTTTTCCCAAATGTAGAGAATGTGTTTTGGGAACTCAAGAGCAAAGACATTATGAGAGATAACAGGACTGAAAATGATCCACAGTTTTGCATTTTCTCTGTGTGCATCCTCTGATTTACCCCTTTCCTTTTAGTGCTCTTCATTTCAAAAATTGCTTGTGATTGTTCTATTACAGCTGCTTACAGTATTTATCTTACATAGTTTGGTGTCATTTGCCTGCTTTGTCTGATTTTCACAATAGAAGTACATGTGCCACCATTAGAGAGGTAATCTTATGTCTGCTACACAGAGGTCTCATAAAAGACACATTTCAAAGACCTCCTATTTCAAAGATACCTGAAAGTATAAAGTAATTTCACATTGTGCAGCGGCTGCCAGGTATCACACAAGTCCATCAGGCTCACAGACTTTCTGAGGCACTCACTGAATTTAGGCTGCCTCAGATTTACATGCCATGATGACCTTTGGCCTGCTGCAGCTCTCCCTGCAGTCTGTGAAGAGCTGAGTTATTTGCTGGTGTTTCAGGATCAGGTCCTCTAGAAATCTGGATGACTGTAAGGATACTTTAATGGATTTCCTTTGCTGTGACTAGGCCAAAACATACCACAAATACAGCACGTTACTGTCACGCACACCCAACACTGCCCACACATCCTTTGTGCCTGATCTCTTTTACACTTGCATTTCTGCATTTTTTTTCACTACATCAGTGTAAACTCCCTGTTGGCCAAAACCTGGACTAGACAATTTCAAAGACAGAATTTAAGACAAACAAGCAATGTTTATTTTATGTTACCGTGGCTTAGCTAACCACAGTTTTAGTGGGGGTTATTAAGGCAAAATGTTAAGGTCACACGTTCGTGTTCACAAATCTGTGGTTCTCGGACTGTGAAAGAAAAAACAGCTGGAATAAGACAACATGAATTATAAATACAAATAACTCATTGAGTTTTCCTATTCAGTGGTGCACAATCAATAAAAATTATTTTCAAACCTGAATATTGTGTGAAGCAAGAGCTATCTTTCTTTTCATGCTTCCTGACTACAATATCATTATGTACCATAATTGGCTCTGTAAAAACCTATTAGGTAAGATGAGAGGGGAAGTGTGAAATACAGAACCAAACCTGCTTCCTGCTAAAAAGTATGTTTGAGTCAAAATATTTAATTTTAAAAAATGCCTGCAACCAAAGAGGCAAATTCTGAGTGGTATGTAAACATGAGAAAGTGTAATGGAGGAAAATGGCTGGCCAAAGCCACTGTCGGGAGAAATAGAGGAAAGTTAAAGCTGGCATCTCCTTCCCCCTCAGATCAGAGTTTCCATAAATAGAGTTGTGAACTCACTGAGAAGAGACCATATTATCATTGTGTCTTAGTTAACCTGACCTTTTAAATGTCTTATTTCCAGAGAGGCTGGTTTAGAGAAGTCATATTTTATACAACTGAATGCCATATGATGAAACTTTTCTTTTTCTACTATGTATTTCTTTTTCTTTCCTTCCTCACCTGTCTTCATTCTCTCCCCTTAGCTTCAGAAAGTAAAAATTAACTAATCACTAAGACCTTAATTTGTCCATTCATGTTCTGCCTCAGCAAAGCACTGCAGCACATAGCTCTGCAAGTAACTTTGGTGAGACATAGACATAGGCTGGAAGCCTGGTGTGTGCTAAAGTGTTTTGGGAAAAGGGAGCCTAAAGACTCAGTCCTGAAGAAAGGCCCCGACACATGCAGTTGAGCCGTGATTTTTACTCATGTCTAAGCAGTGAGCTGCTGTCTGTGGAACAACTTGCATGAGTGCAGACTTATTGCTCTGACGGGAAAAAGTCTTTTGATATTTAATGCAAGTGCAACTTGTCAGGTTATAAAGTTTTTAATCATGACGGTTGGTTCCACACAATCCTCTGCAGGCTCCTGTGCATCTGTCAGTCCATCCTAATACTGGGCTACAGCAAAGATACACTGTTCCAGCAGAAGCTCCTCAAGGCGTAGCCAGCAGCTCACCCCTTACAACATTGCAGCCAGCTTGTACGTCAGGGTAGAGAGGAAACAAAATATGACTGCAGCCCTGCAGAAAGTGGGGGGACCATCTTCTGTCCTCTAAGGACCGCAGGAACCTTCTCTGTGCTTGGGAGTCACACAGCCTGCACAGGTGGCAATCTCATGTCTGACAATAGCAAACCATGGGAAAGGTTCCATGCTCAGTGTTGGTTGGAATACAGCAGGCAGCCAGGCAGTGCTCTGCTCAGAGAGGGATCAGGTGCATCGCTCCAGGGATGAGTTGCTTTATGGGTTGGTTACACTCATGTTTACTTCCTCAACTTGTCTCTGCCCCAAGAAACACACAGGAGGACCGGAGGATGTATCAGAGATGAAATACATTTAAACAATATCATCAGAAATGACAGAAATGTTATAGGATGTTTATTTAGACAGCAACACATATTCTGTCTCATTCAGAACATCCGTGAGATGAATCGCTGTTCTCAGTCATGCATCTGCTGTAACAAAGAGCACTGCCTTGCAGCATGGGCGTTGCACAGGTGTAGTTCAGAGCTATGTGTGATTCATTGGCTCAACAACAATGGAGTGCTCCCTCCATAGCTCCCCACTGTCATTTCATTCCCTTCCTTGTGCTCCAGGCAGTCACACTCTCCCATTTTTTTTTCTTTGACGTAGATCATTCCTTACATCAGTAATTACTTCCACGATGATGCTCTGGATTTTCTTAGTCTCATTTAGATTTATCTAGAATTTTCGAAATATCAGTTGTTGCTGATGCAGGAACTAAAGGTATCTGCAACTGAATTTGACAGAAAGACGCTCACTTATTAAACTGGAATCTGAGTCCAGACCAAATTATTGTTTCAAATGTTAAGAAGGTCTGTCAGATCATTTCTTAGGCTGGATTCATGATATTAGCACCACAGAGCTTATGGTGTGAGTAGTGCCAGTCAATGTATTCATTGCAAATAGATTATTCAATGCATTTGCCCATTTTTCTCTTTGTGAATCATTTGTGAATCATTTCTGATTTCTCATAATGTATTCATAAGCATTCACCCACATGGATTATAGAACAAATCTCAGCCTAAGGGAACTTTGTGAACTATTCACTTTTTACTAGTAATTATCTAGTGTGAATGCAGTAGTTCATTTAAGTCACCTGGCATCAGTTATGCTTCATCTTTTAATGATATAATCTTCTTTAAAAAAAAAATGGGAGGCTAGTGACTAATACAAATAGAACTTTAGGGACAAGTAAACATTCAGGACATGCAGAAAATCTGTGCTATAAATTATAAACCAGCCATTATACAGATATTTGAGGAAAAACCCCAAAAAGGGCTGAGCAAAGATATCTATCATTAACTTTGTTTCTTTTTGGCTATTCTGCCAGCCCTAGGCATTATGTCAGCTACTATGATGACAACTGTAATGTGAGGGTTTTTCTTTCTTTACTGACAGGTACCAGCAGTGCAGAAGTAAAGGAAAATCGAAACATTGGCAACCTGGAGGATCATCCAATATCCTCTAATGAGAGGGCAAGAGGGGGAACACCTAGCAGTAAGAGAAAAAGACCCTTAGAGGAAGGCAATAATGGCCATTTCTGCAAACTCCAGCTCATCTGGAAGAAAGTCTCATGGTCAGTGACGCCAAAGAACGCTCTGGTTCAGCTACATGAACTTAAACCAGGTTTACAATATAAAATGGTTTCCCAGACAGGTCCAGTACATGCTCCAGTCTTTGCTGTTGCTGTGGAAGTAAATGGACTTACGTTTGAAGGCACAGGGCCCACAAAAAAGAAAGCCAAAATGCGTGCTGCAGAGCTAGCTCTGAAGTCGTTTGTTCAGTTCCCCAATGCCTGCCAAGCTCACTTTGCCATGGGGAACTGCATCAACCCATCCACAGACTTTACTTCTGATCAGGCAGACTTTCCAGATACTCTGTTCAAGGAGTTCGAACCATCCACACACAGTGAGGACTTTTCAGTCTACAACCCCGTTAATAACGAATTGCTTTCCACTGCTTATCGACACGGGCGCTTACTCTGCCATACGCTGGACTTAATGGGCCATGGTAAACAAAACAAGCACAAGATGGCATCCAAAGCGGAGAGTGAGAAGAACCCGGTGGTGCTGCTAAATGAGCTGCGGTCAGGCCTGCGTTACGTCTGCCTGTCGGAGACAGTGGAGAAGCAGCACATCAAGAGCTTTGTGATGGCAGTGCGAGTGGACGGGAGAACATTTGAAGGCTCAGGACGTAGCAAGAAGCTGGCCAAGGGGCAAGCAGCACAGGCGGCCCTGCAGGCCCTCTTTAACATTCGGCTGCCCAGCCACATGCCCAGCAGGAGTAAATGTCACCATTTGCCACAGGTGAGAGCTCCTGGCTAGCCACCACCACGTTAGAGGAACTCTTTCAATGAATGGGATCGATTTTGCTGTAGCTGTTGTTCTACCAGATGGTTCCTCTGATGTTATAGCAAGTGCCATGCCACCAAATAGCTCTTTTTTTCATAGAAACAGCCAGATGTCACAGGCAAAAGCTTGAAAATAGTATCCTGTCATCATTGGGTAAAATTTGCAGCCCTTTCCATAGGAGGCATAGATGAAAAGGCAAAATGTAAGGGGAAATACTAATGTTTCAATTTGCTAGAGAAAGTAATAACATTGACACAGGCAGAAAAATCAGGTCATTCTGTGGTACTGTATCTTTCTTGACAGAAAGGAGCCCATAAGCAAAGCGATGCCCCATATCCTCCTTTCAGAGTTAATTTTTGATGAGGACAGTGTCATTCAGAGGAGACAGCAATGACAAGAAATGTGCCTGTGTCAGAGCAAACTCTCCACAGAATTCTGACATGAGAAAAGTTAAGGATTTATGTTTATTATAGGCATATTTTTTGGGGTTGTTCTGGGAGGTTTTTTTGTTCATTTTCAAATATGCTTCCAACAGCACAAGGGATGGTGAAAGCTCTGAAATTTTTCTGGAACAAATATAGAGATTACTGCTGTATTCGTACAGAAAATATAGAGTTAAGGTACATACTTAACATATCAAAATTTCATAATTGATCATGCCAAAGGCTATTTTAGAGTTACTTAGACTTGTGTCAATTTCCTAAGTTCAAAGGAAGCCAGGATTTGCAGACATTGGGAAGCATTACATGGGTTCAAGTAATTTCTTGATTTGTTTGCGCTGTCATAAAAGGGTTGATCCACCAGCACCAGGAGGTGATCTACCACTACAAAGCTCCCTTTATGAAGCGAGCTGTTAATGTCCAGGATTTAATGCAAAGCACTGGGAGCACTAAGAGTCATTCTGCTTCTGGCTTGCTGTGAGACCCTAGGCAAGTCATTTAAATCCAATATGCTTGTCATAAAAATGAGCATATTATATGAAAGAACACTTCAAGATCCTTAAGTAGTGTGTAAATGTAAATTATTAGTAGCAATTCTCATTAACATTAGTAAAGATGTTCATTAGATGTCCAAGGAGTTTGATAGGACATGAATGTTTTAGGTGACACGATTGCCTGCAGGACCCAAGAATTATATTTGGTGACCCAGAAGTTTCCTTCTTATGTTTCCAAAAAGGAAACATGAGAAATATAAGAAATTCTAAAATACATCATAATCCCCTACCTCTTCCTTTTAGTTCTGGTTTGTAAATTCCATAAACCAGTGTGATAATAACATAATTTAATAATAGCAGTGATCTTCACAGAGTGCTCCGCAGGTATTTTGGAAGCCTTGGCCAACCTGGCAGTTCCAGCCTCCCAGTACTCCTCCAAAGTACAGATGGTTTTAAATGATAGGGTTTTTTCCTATGCTGTTTCCTGTCTGAATTAATTCTGGTAAAAAGCAGTTTGTTTTGATGAACGTGCCTATCCTTCCCCTTAGAAACATAGCACTTGGATATAAAGAGGACTCTAGTTCCATCCTGCTGACTGCTTTACTGCCCCCGGTGAACTTTGTTGGGTGTGTTGGCAGGTATATATCATGCATTCATTGACCAATGGTTTGTCATGTTCTGAAACTGTGCCACAAGCATCATTGCCTCAGTGCCTGAGAACTCTGAAATATTCCCTGGTTGCTGGGCTTCACCATCATCCTCTACCTGAATATCACATCTTACCTGGGTCCCCAATTGTTCACTGGGCAACACATTCTTCAGCATATATTCCATTTTTTATGGCCTTTTCTCCTTTCTGCCCTCCTTATCTTCTTCTCCTCACTGTTCTAGAATTATAAATGTCAGTGAAAAGGTGTCACTGAACTGTCACTGTCAGTATTTTTTGAGTGGTTATGTATTGTCCAACTAAAAGATTACTCAGGCACTTTTAATGCCAGCATTCAGCACATTAATTGAGAGATAAGCCTTAACACTGATTTCTGCTGACCTCCTTACTAGCTGTTCTCATCAATAGACATAGCAGCTATGACCAAAAAAAAAAAAAAAAAGGTTGTGTTACTCACTTAAATCAACCCAACTTCCACTGAAACCGACAGCCATATTTCCACTGACTTCAGCTGGGATGTAGCTTATGCATTAAATCCAGAAGCATCTTTGCTTGTTCTCACTGTGTTATGCAGTATCTCATCAAGTGACTGTCTTTGCTCACTGCTTCAGTCAGCCCATCTGGCTGTTTGGTCAGTCGAAGCGGTGGTAACCGTATTGAGACTGTAGTTGTCTTTGTGATGTGGTCAGAGCCAACTGCTCCAAAAGTTGCTTCAGCTCCATATTGTCTCCCTGCTCTTGTGCAAACCACATTCTCAAGGACACATTTCAAGCCAATTTTTCAAAGCTATTCCTACATAGTAGGCTCAACTTGATTTGTGTCCAAAACTGTTTAATAGCAAGAGAACACCCTGACACACAAACAGCTTAGGGATAAAATTGGAAATATGAGGAGGGGGTTGATTTCTTCACAGAATAAGGAGAAACTACTGTCCTACCCAACCACTCACTCTTTTCATGTGCTTCATCATATTTGTTAGGATGTCAGATAGCTAACTCATTGATAGGTAGGGACAGGCAAACAAGGTCACTGTAACACTTTCACCTATATTTTGAGTATTTTGTAGAATCCAAGAGTATGTTTATCTCTGTGGTTGCCCTTTACAAAGAGTATTCCAACTTTGCATCTCTCTGTTCCTGTTCCCTTTGCTGTTATCAGTGGTGTTAGGAGGCCAGATATTCACTTTTCCTGATTACTGCCTGACTGGGAATGGGAAAAGCCAAAAATCTTGTGATACCAGTAGTCCAGTTGTGCTGAATGTATGGATTTCATAGTGTCCAAGAAAGTGTCAAAATTTTAAGTTCAGATGTCCTTATAAGCTGGGTGTCCTGACCACTGACATTTCTGCCTTGCCTATCAGGGCTCCCAGGGGACCTCAGCCTGGGCCTCAGGCATGCCCTCAGACTGACAGCCACTTTTTCTGCTGAACAAGGGAGATTCAATGTAAAACACCAAAAGAGGCACTGTATCCTCTAGTCTATTCTAAGAGGTGCTGCTTACACAGGAGGCTTCCTGAACTGCCAGGAAATGCAGAGCATAGATGTAAAATCCTGACACCTTGATCTCTTCTGATTCAGGCAAAACAAAGAAATGCAAGAATAACAAAGCCAGAAATAGATTAATTGCCTGGGGCAGCTGCAGTCCAACTTGCTACTTCAGCTGCCTCTCCTGTCCCTCACCTGCCAGTGCTGAACACCCACCATGAAATTGTGAGTTCTTTACAGTACCGGTCCTTTCTTAAAAGAACATCACTGTGTCTCTGATTTTCTTCCATATGATTGTTCCACAATGTGTTTGGGATGACTGCAAAATTACACCCCAAAAATATACAAAAGCATACACTTTACACCAGGAAAAATTTTTAATCTCATAATTTAAAGCCAAAATAATTTAGATTGTGTCTTCTTTACTGCCATCAACAGTGCTTTGGTCCACTTCTGTGATTATTACACAGGCACAATGATGTCTGGAGGACCTGAGATCTTGCTCCTGTATAGGACAAATAGAAGGTAGCTGAGATAAACCAAGAACCAGCTGAAATGGTCACAAGATTTGCCCATCAATCTACTAGCTACCATTCTTCCTCAAACCTTATCTTTCTTATCTGTTCTATGCCACTGAAGTGCAAGATAAATACTATTGATGGTCTGAGGCTGGGCACACAATGTTGATCACAGTAGCCAAGATAGGAGTCTGGAGATCTGCTAAACTAATGGCAGAGATAAAGTGTGTCAGGAGAACGGAAATTACAATGCATCACTCTGCACCTTGTCTAAGTCACTAAATATTGCTCCTTGTTTCACAGAATACTGGGTCTGAATGCATATTGTCCATCAAATAATATACAATTTCTTCAATTATCAGCTTTTACAAAGTCTGACAATTGTTTCTCCCCACCTTGGGAGCTAATGTTCTTGTATTCCAAAGTAGGAGACAACATCAAAGGGTGCTGACCTAACCAGTCCTGAAGAGTCTGCACTGATAGAAATACATCCACACAATCCCAGTCTTTCAAAGTGCAGTGTGCTCATTTTAGGAGATCAAGGTGACCCCCAACTGCATCTGACCATTTTACAGATTGTTTTTCTAAGTCTAAACAACATTCTTACTGCTGTAGAGCAAAACCATTAATTAATATTGCCATAACAAATTAGTAATAGAGGGGTGCTTGGATTTCAAATAGACCTAAATTAAAAAAGAATAGGTGTGAAAATCACATTCACTCTGCTTTGAAATGGCTTAACGCTGCTGTTGCTGGTTCACAACCAGAGCATCCAGAGCAATAGTTGTCAATTTATTTATTTAAACAAAACCTCATTGTGTTTTGTGTGTGTATCATCAAAAAGAAACAGGGGTTTTTCCTTTGGCAAATAAAGCTAACCATTTGAATCCAGTTAAATCCCTTATTTGTCAAAAGCTTCATTTGCAGACCAAAATAACCTCAGCATTCACATTGCAATGATCCTTTACCCTGAGCAGGTCATGGATCCCCACCAGCTAACTTCAGTGTCACCTTGGTGAGCAGTGTCATGGGAAGAACAACCACCATGTTGGGGAAAGCCCCCTACCCAAAACCTCTCATCCACTTCCCTCTAGAAACCTGTTTCTATGTGTTGCAAAACTGGTTCGTTTTCAAGCAGTATCAATTGTTCCTGCCTCCTTCACTTCATTTCTCTCACTGTCCTCATCTGCCAACTTCCTTGCAACCATGCCCTCTCACCTGTGTTGCAATTAAGCTGGAGCTGAGGTCTGCAGTGATAGATTTGACTATGGTGCAAAGGACAGCACACGGAGCTGGCACTGAGCTTTGAGAAGCTGTTCCAACATGTTTCTAAGAGCTTTGTCTGGTCAAAT